TGGGGATTACAATTGAGATGAAAAAAAAAGTGCAAAATGATGTAAAAATAAACTTTTTAATAAAAAAAAAAGTACACTAAAAAAAGAATAAAGAATAGCAACCATTGGTCTGTGGAAAAAAAAAAAATGCCAGAAAGGAAAAACAAGCAAACAAAAAGTTCTCAAGGTAGGAGAAAAAATAATATCTTTCAAGGAAGGAATAGTGGTACCTCAGTTCTTTTGGCTGCAAGAAGGCATAGATAGCTTTAAAGACAAAACAAACTGCACCCAGGCACCCAAAACAAATCAGGGATGATTCGAATCTTTATGAGATTTCCACAGATTAGTATGTCCTTGGAAATACATTAAGATATTGGGACTCTCCCACATCAGTTCTCTGGAGGAGTTCTGGAATTTTCTATCAGGCTTAGCCTATGTGTCCCAAGCAGTGACCCACACACTGGTTCTGAGCTATGCACATGCATCAGTATGAAATGCTGCTAACACCTGTCATTGTCGCTGGAAGGGAAATGGCCCTGGGGAGATCTAGCATTTCCTTAAAAATCTTCTAGGAAGTGAGGATTACTCTGATGCTGGGCTGGTGAGTGTGGAGCAGCCAAGGGATAGAGGGATGGAAGGACAAAGGCTGGTGGGAGGGATGAGCAAGAGCTGGTGGGATGGGCAAGCACTGATGGGATGGGCAACAAGCGCTGATGGAATGGACAAAGACTGGTGGGAGGGATGGGTAAGGGCTGATACAACAGATTCTCAGATTGGAATTACCTTGTTTATTTCAAACCTAAAAAAGAGAGCATTTTTAAGTAACTTTAAAGTAAAAAAAATACTGGGTTGCAGGACATTCAGCAGAAAAGGGTGGGCATATTAGAAGCATGGCATAGTCTGACTGTAATCCATCATGGCAAATCTTCTAAAAAGTAAAAACAGAGGACTCTAAAATCCCATTGCATTTATTCTTCAAGGGAAACAACAAAAGCAACTTTTCCTGCTACACTTTATTTTCTGTGGTGGACAGAGTATTGTGGACCCAAAAAGAGTAAAGACACAACAAAGCGTGCCTTGTTGCTTTGGTTCAAGCCTTCTGCACATCCGAATAATCTAGAGGATTTATTAAAATACTACCATCCTAGCCCCCATCCTGGAAATTCTAATTTATTTTGATTCTGTGTGGAAACTAGGAATTGTTAGTTTTTAATGTCTAAACTTTGACCCCGGCCCATTTGAGAGTGATTGTAGGAAATGTGGCTGCTATATGTAAGTATTCACCAAACACAGGACTTTGGAAGAGAGAATATCCGATTGAGTTTATGATTTCTGCAGCCCAGAACATCATAAGATGTAAGTTTAGAATCTATCTTACGTAATCACACCAGGAAAAAAAGTTATGCAGGTGAAGTTCTCTTGGTTTATCTATTTCTGAGCCTAGAATTTAAGTCCCTTCTGGAAATTAGAAGCCCTGTGGCCACTCTAAACACTCAGCAAGTTTTATTAAAATTTCTGTATCATTTACACCTTAGTATAAATTTGTGAGTTGGTGTTAATAATGGAGTAACAGCACCAGTGCCCTATTTAAGGGACCATGAGTCTCAGTCAACATTAGAAGGCTATTAGAAGGCTCTAATATACAATATTTTAGGAGACTCCAAGAACATCTGGTGCAGGACAGGTGGCAGCTGAGAGCATATCCAAAAGTCACAAGATCCTCTCAGCAACCTGGATGGTGTGCCCTGATTAGGGCTCATTCCGCTCTAAAATGAGCCAATGCCCCTGGCCTATCATCAAGGAAACTTGAGTCAGGTAGCATTCTCTCTTTATAGCATCATCCCTCTGACCTCCCCCTGCCTCGTCAGAAAGGCTCTAGATCCAGGCCCCAACCAGATGGCTGGATCTGGAGAAGGATCAGGTATATTCTCCCAATATAGGATGCTACTCCCTCAAAAAGGATAAAGAGAGTAAATCCACTCAAACTTGGCTGTCTTCAATAACTAGAATTCTTACACTGCCAAAGAACTCATGAGTACCATCACAGTAAAGGTGCCAATAACAGTTTATAAACCGTGATTTTATAAGATCTTGGAGAGGCCCTCCCTGGTGGCACAACAGATTGGAGTGCAGCACTGCAAGCTGGCCACTTCAGTGCAAGTTCGATCCCTGCCCAGGAGGTGACCCACAAGGTTGGCAGACCTCTCCTGTTCCACCCTGTGCTCCCCTCAACAGTGTACTTTGTAGAACTGCCTGCTCTGCTCCCCACTGTCTCTGGTGAATCCTGTCACCAGCCCTGCACCTCTGGCTAAATAAATAAATCTTTAAAAAGAAAAAATAGGCCCTCCCTGGTGGCGCAGCAGGTTAAAGCACAGCACTGAGAGTCTGAAGCCACTTCCACATGAGTTCAATCCCCGCCTGCTTCGGAGGAGACCACATGGCGCAGCAGACCTCTCCTGGCCCGCCCATTGCTCCCCTCAGCAGTGTACTTCCATGATCTGCCTGTTCTGCTCCCTACTCCGTCTCTGGTGAATCCTCTCACCCTCCGCAACTCTGGCCTGTACCTCAGTTCTGTATGAATAGGTGGATGGATCTTTAAAAAAAAAAAAAATAGGGAGCTCTCAGGCATCTAAAGCCTCTGCTTCCCCAGATTACGTTGGACAGTGAGCTGCAGTCAATACCCAATCCTTTTCTTTCAAAGACCCAGCACAAAGGCTGTTTTTTGTTTTTCTGGTTGACCCTACTCAACTAGAAATGGGTGGGTAGGGAGGTACCTAAGGGTGTCATCATCACAAGCAACACCTGTAGCATTGTTACCGGTGTAGAGCAATGCAATCTCTGCCCTGTGCAAGTCTTGAGACTTGAGGGTTTTGTGATGGATTTCCAGCCTGATAATACATGGCTTCTCAGACAGCCAAGTAGGAGTAGGATTTACATTCAGGCCCTCCCTGGTGGCCCAGTGGGTTAGCACACAGCCCTGCAAGCTGGCCGCAGCCACTTCAGTACAAGTTCCATCCCCAGCTCCAGAGGTGATCCACATGGTGCAGCAGACCTCCCCTGACCCACCCACTGCTCCCCTCAGCAGTGTCCTTCATAGATCAGCCTGTTCTGCTCCCAACTCTGTCTCTTTTGAATACTCTCACCACCCCTGCACCTCTGGCCTGTCCCCCTCAGTTCTGTATACATAAATAAATAAATTAAAAAAAATAAATCATCTGAACAGCTACCTGCGGGGGGGGGGGGGGCAGGGAGCCGGAGAGAAGTGTTCTCATCAGTCCTTCCCTTACTTTTCCAACCTGGAAAAGTAAGTCTGGCCTTAGAAACATGGTTTTAATGGAGCTTTTGGGGGTAGGCATGGATAAGATTGTTTTTTTCTTTTTAACAGATTTTTGTGAAAAAATCATTGGAGGACATGATGTGAAACCTCATTCAAGACCCTACATGGTTCTACTTGAAACAGAAAGTAGCCTTTGTGCTGGGGCTTTGATAGAAAAGGGCTGGGTATTGACTGCTGCTCACTGTAAAGTGTAAGTGCCTGAATTTTAAAAAGAATTTTTTAGACTTTTTAATTTGGGTAAATGCTGATAACAAGTGTCTCATGTGTATCTTCAAATCACTGAGATCCTTAGGATCTTGCTTCACCCCTGCAGACTGCCTCATGAATCAGCCCAATGAGGACCCACAATGAGCCCCACCAGTTCTTCCTGTGGGTCTCCTCTAGAGCCACCTGATCCAGGAGCTGCAAGGTTTTGCTTCTGGTCCTGATTTGTCGGGAACGAACCCCAATTTCAGGCTGTTGAGAGGCTGACACAGGCAGGGTCTCAAGGTGGGAACGATGTTGGCAAGGCGATATTCTAAAAATTGGGGAGTAAAGAGGAGCGGGAGTGAGGAAGACACAGGAGTCAGATTGGGTGCAAATCTTCCTGCTCTGCCTTCAGCAGAGGTTTATTTTATACATTTCAAGCAGGCAGAGGGATGACATTAGCATACAAAAGGGGCTGAGATCACAATCACCTTTTTTCTAAGAATAGTCTGGGTTCATTTTGACCTTTACTCGAGATTATAACATTCTAAAATCAATCAAGGTTAAAAACAGGTGCACAAAAAAAAAAAAATACTATAGTGAAGATTAACTAAAATAAAGTCCCTTAAACCTTATCTACTGCTTAATGGGGTGTTTTTTTGTTGTTGTTTTTTTCTACCTGAGACATCCTGAGAAGCAGGAAGAGGAAATTTCTTGCAAATCAAATTTCAGAAAAATTCTTTGAAGAAACTTGCTAAAAGGTTTTAAGTGAGTTTCCTTGAGGTCTAGACAGTAGAAAGCGTAATTTGCTCTGAATAGGAGACAGGTGAATTTCCTTATCTAAAGACTAGATAGTAGAATCCTGAAAGACTAGCCAGAAGACTTGTGTGAATTCCTATGAAGTGCAGCAGGTAGAAAACCTGACTAGTTCTAAAACAGGCAACCTGGATGAATTTCCACATCTAAAGGCCAGACAGTAGGAAGTTTGAGTAATTCTTTAGAAGCTGAATAGGGCCAGGTGAGTAGTAGGATGATAAGATTTGGATTTTCCTCCATCCGGCAGTGAGAGAGACTTTGCAGAAACAGCTCTTTTGCTTTTATTGATCAGCCAGTTGTCAAGTCACTTTTGACTTCAGAGGAATTTCTCACCCTGGTGCAGTGCTTGCTTGTCAGGGCCAGGCAGCGCCTTATGCGGCTGAGGCAATCCAATTGTAAGCTGAA